TGCAATTTGTTGATGATCATACGACAAAATTACATAGATGTTGCCAACAATTCTGGTTGGTATAATGTTATTCTTATTCAACCATCACCATCTTCTGATTCTTTTACGGATGAAGAGTGGGCGTGCCCAGGGTTAAACCAGAGACTTTTCAAAACGTGCACGTTAGGTTTATTGGACACTCTAAATTGCCCTGTAGGAGTCAATTTGTGTTTGGTTATTTGTCTCTGGAATAGGTTCCAGGTCCCCGTCAGGGATAAGTGGTATCGAAAAAGGATTGTTAAATATTCTCAGTAAACATGTCATTGTTTATTTCGAACCAATGAGCATTGTGCGTGAATTTTAAAGTGATTCTGCGATTTATTATCAGAAAATTATGTATAATAAGACAATTCATTACCACCACTTTTGGGTCAGTGACATCTTTAGAACTTGGTTCCAAGTTCTAAAGCTTTTAATGTAAGAACAGGTTGTTAGTTTTGTAAATTAAGCCTCTAGACTATGCACATGTAATTTTTTAGCTAACTTTTGTATCTAGATACCTTTTTTGGAACCAATGAGTTCACCACAAGATATAAAAGAGAGTCAACCCCGACCTCTACTGGACAGATTGTCTAATGGCATAAAAAAATCCAACTGCTTGTGCACTTTGAAAAGCAAGTCACACATAAAAAGAAATCTAATTATTCATAGTGCTCATTATTCATAGAATAAACTGCATTTTTAAAATGATATTGTATTTCATTGCTTAATTTGGTATTCATCGTCAAATCAAATTCTAAAATGAACTCAAACTAACTCTCTCTATAGTTCATTAAAAACACGTCTTTGTATTGACTCACATCAAGAAGTACACGTGTTTAAGATTAAGTTTGTTTTTAAATCACCCGTTAACTACACAACTCACATTTCGGTTAAACAGAATGAGGAAAGTTTTTTTTAAAAGGTATTTATCTGCATAAAAGTGTCTAATTTATGTAATCTATTTTTGTACAATTGGATTGTGTACGTTAAGACTTAAACATTACGTCTGAAATAATACAACATTGTCATTTGTTTTCTGATGACTATATGTATATAGTGACCAATATCAATATATACCTTTAGTGCTTAACAACTGGTATTAATCTATCTATCTATCTATCTATCTATCTATCTATCTATCTATCTATC